CAAAAGTAAAAACTAAAGCACTGCTTAAGAAGTTAGTGATCTCTGTGATGAAGCACCACTTAATAAGATACTATCTAATCACCCATAATGATTCAGAGCTTTTGAGATTGTTTTTCTCGTATTAAGTCAGAATTAGTCATGGATTCAACTCACGCAGAGGCAAATGATACTCATAAGCTTCATCTCATGAAGCCCAAGGCGTGTCAGGACATGCCCTCCCATGGCGTACCGACACATATGAGTACCGGTGGCAAATCACCCTCGCAGGGTGCATATTATATATAATTTGTTTCCACTACGTGGAATCTTATGAAATGCGTCAAATGCTTTGCCTACATATACGAGTACCGGAAGCAAATCACCCTCGCGGGGTGCATATTATATACAATTTGTTTCCACTACGTGGAACCTTATGAAATGCTTCTTATGCCTTGCCTACATATACGAGTACCGGCAGCAAATCACCCTCGCGGGGTGCATATTATATACAATTTGTTTCCACTACGTGGAACCTTATGAAATGCTTCTAATGCCTTGCCTACATATACGAGTACCGGCAGCAAATCACCCTCACGGGGTGCATATTATATACAATTTGTTTCCACTACGTGGAACCTTATGAAATGACTCTAATGCCTTGCCTACATATACGAGTAACGGTAGCAAACCACCCTCGCAGGGTGCATATTACCAAAACTCTAATGACCGCCCCTCGCGGGGGCATATTATGTATAATTTACTTCCACCGTATGGAACTCATTATGAATAAAGACAGGCCTTCCATGGCTTGCCTACACATACAAGTATCGGTAACAAAATATCGTTGATGGAGGAATATCCTCATCAATCTTATAATCGACCTTGTGGGGTCATATCACACATAATATATTATTTCTATTACGTGAAGCTCAATATATGTTTTCCTTAGAACATGTTCGCTTATGGAGTTCGTGCTATTATGTAAGCACCGGTAACATACGACACTCCAGTGGAGCAAATTATGCATAATTTAACATATAGTCTATTCGTGATTCATAATTTATTTTTGTGACCATGGGGTCTGTAAAAGTGTAAACAATTCGAAACATTAAAAATAAGTAAATTGAAAATATAATAAATGTCGCTTGACATAATTCATTACTTCCATCGCGTGGAAATCCATACATCGACGCAACGCAACATACCCTCTCATGTTTTGCGTACACACATAAGTATTGGCTATAAACTACCCTCTTAATAGACTATAAAGATCGAACATCGAATGTTGACGTACCCCATTGTGAAGTGCAATGTACGTGGTTTTAAAGGTGTCGCATACTCCGAGGTCTTGGGTTCACCCCGGTGGGGCAAATCATTGTATGATTAAAACAAGCATCTGTGCCTAAGTCTTGGTTGTTAACAAATATTAACTCAAAATCATATCAATCTATGCATCATCATTATGCATTTCTATGCGTTAGCCCATAACACAAGTCTTTCAATGCCTATTATGAGGCTAGGCTAATTGGTGTGAAGTGTTGACTCGATCACTACGGTTATTCTACCGTAATATAGTTATCGAGGACGTGCTGTAATACATTTCAAAAGAAAAAGGAATATCGAAACAATTAATGTTTGAAAAAATTTAGTGCAGGACAGTTGATAAATTGGTTGCACCACAAATAATTATGAAATAAATTTAATGGTGTCGCATGCCATTCAAAAGCTTGTTTATCTAAATCCAATATATATCAAGCTCCAATCTCAAGTGCAGTACACTATAACTATGTAAAGAATTCTAAGTTTTCTGCAATTTAAGGACTATCTGCCAGATAGATAGATGATGACATATTTTCTCTTCAAAATAACAAAAGTAAACCAAATGGGTTGCTCACTCTTTTGATCGGGTAATGAGAGAAACTTGCAATATTAGAAATGTCGTGTATGAGGTGTCCGAGGTGGCCAACATGATCATTTTGATATATAAGTGGTGCTATGTACTGAAGAAAAATTGCACGATCTACCAAATTCTTGAAAGGTTTTGAAGATCATTGTATGCAATTATCCACTTTATGTTATTTTTAGTAAAAAATACTGAAAACTGTTCTTAATATTAAACTTACGCTTTCTAACCTTGCCACGACTGTCTGGAATAAATATACTTCAAACCCTACGCATACTACATGCACACTTCATGAAACTGTGTAAATCTTATAAATAACTGACTGAATGACTCAGATCTAAGAACTGAAAAACAAAAGGAAAAATTACAATCAATTATAGATTCCAGGATGGCAAATGAATTTCATAAAATCTGGTCTGAACTTCGTAATAGCATAATTTATCACGGCAACCCTGCAACAATATAAAAACTATACCTGAGAATTTCTTTGTAAAAACGTAAAACTTCAGAAGTTGATCGGTTTCAACATGTTTGTCATTCCGTGGGGTTGTATCAACCACTCCCTACTTCTAACAATAGTTATAAATTCATTGCAATCGACCTTGCAATCACTTCCTGCCAATCTAATATGAAAGCTTGGCAAGTATAGTTGGAGAATACGGCTCTACCACTTCACTTCAATCAATTAGATATGCTAGCACTACGCTTTTTATCATATTCTACAAAGAGCGACAGCTCTGTTTTAAACAGCTATGAGATGGCTCGGAAACGCTGGCTTGCGTCGTTGCATTGGTCTAGGAACAAGAATGTTTATCGGAATAATCCCGCAGGTTGTGGACTCGGCTCTGAGCTAACACGATTTGAGACTTATTTTAACACGTGACTTATCTCAAAATAAGTACCATTATTCTAAATAAGTCGGTAGTTTTTACATGATATACCAATGGATGATAAGTCTAATTACCTAAGCTCACCTGTCTTGGCAAACACATAATAATATATGGAAGTCAACTGTTTTTAAAGAATCATTTCCTTTTCTTCAATAATGTACTCGTTATATCATAATGATCTGTTTCAAATACCTCGTCATACTAGTTGTTGTTCTGAACGTCATACAGTAATTATGCTGCATATTATTTGGTTCAGCATGTGGTACACATGACTTGTTCCTACTTCAAATTATTCCGAATCATTGTATTTGTACCGACGAAGATTAGTTTTAGCCTTGTTTTGGTTCAAAACAGGTGAAAGTAGTTAAAGACAATCCGATTGGTGACTTGTATCGAATAATGGTAATCGCAAGTGGGACCCTGATTTTTGGTACTTAAGTAAAAAGTACAGTATTGTAAAATGTAAGACTCAGTATCGAACAACTTTAAATCTTTTTCTCGCATTCGTACGCCTTATTTGTGATATACAAAGATACAAATGAATGCTACACAAGGAAGCGTCCGGTCATTAACAAACCAAATATATATATATATATAATTCGCGAGTTTTAAGCAAAGGAATATAGCGATCAGCTAATACATATGTTAAAGCAGCTTCGTAAGCGTGAAGAAATTAAAGCCGTGATTCAAATAATATTATTTGATCCATTTTTAAGCTTACTCGTTTCTTTATACAGTTTCATATAATCTGATAAATGTTAATATTTAAATTTATCATAAATTGTCACATTGGCGTATATATCTATGTACGTGGCGATCACCAGGCGATAACAAACAGGTCTCAATATAAAGCTTTCAGTGACGGTCAAGTAGTTTAATAGCAGCATTTTACCTGAAATAAAATGCATATTAAAATACTTACCTCACTGAAAGCTTTCACTTTAAATTCTGCCTGGTGAAATAATTGAGCCAATGAGTTAGTATGGCGCTGTCAAAACTTAGGAAAACAAAAATGGCCGCGCTTCTGCCAGGTGTCGCCACTGGACCGGATACAAGGTGAATAAAAGTACGGAAACTGATGGTAATTCGACGGGAAACGGAAGTGCTATCTCAATATAAAGCTTTCAGTGAGGTAAGTATTTTAATATGCATTTTATTTCAGGTAAAATGCTGCTATTAATGTCCTCACTGCTGGGACACAAGCCTTCCCTATGGATGGAATAGGGAGATTGGGCCATGACTAGGGTTGCCACTTTTTTTATATCCAAATAATCCGTACATTGGATATTAAAAGAAAAAAAAAGTACATTGTGTCCAAAATAAAGTATAAAAAATACTTCACTTTAATATTCCACTTTATTAGTAAGCTTAAAAATATATTTTACGTTGCTTCTAGTAACTTTTAATAAATAATTTGTAGCTACAAAAAATTGTGATGAGTCATGGGTACAAAGCCATACAGCCACAACAATGTTGCAAGAATGACCTAAGGACGATATATTATACATACTGTCTGTCCGTATCAGACCACATTAAATAAAAGTATTTTTGCGTACTTTATTGTTGACATAAAGTTTAGAGTACAATTACCGGAAATAACGTACAATACTTTATAACAAAGTACGGGTGGAAACCCTAGCCATGTTATGTATAAAGTATTTATTTGACATTGTGGGTTACCTACAATGCGAAGAGATGGCGCTGCCTTGCAGCTTAAGGCTAGTTATCTTTGTTTGAGAGTTAATTCCCGAAAAGCGGGATTGAGCCTGTTAATTTTGATTTAAAAATCGGGACGTCCCGCCAAAATCGGGGCGTCTAGCAACACTGAGCATGACTGTCATCCAATAATTATATTCTACGCACTTCGTTGAGATTTAAAACAAAAGAAATCACAACTTTTTCTGAATTTTCTGGTCTTTCAAATAGATTTTCCAAAAGATAAACTTTTATACAAACCATGCTAATAATAATGTAGCTTCTTCTAACAAACTTTCAATAACATTTATATTTTTTTTTTAAAGCATGTAGCTGCTTAATGTTTCAATCTAAAGAAAATATAACTAGAAAAAAATCCACGCGGACCAGGCAGCAGACGGGACTCAAACCCGCACCCTTCGCAATCCGGGCGAATGCACTGACCAATTATGCATTTTCAATAACGTTGCCACATTGGCAAAAAATCTACTTAGCTTTTCAATTTAATTTGTTTTTTCGGGTGTATTATTTATCTTCGGCTCATTTTTTATTCTTTTAGTAGATTCTTTCGTACGCCTGATATAAGGACGATGATTCTTTTAGTGGAAAAGCAGTCGTCAAATCGCCGGAATTACCACAAGCAGGAGTGGCAATACGAAGGACTTCCGATCGAGTTCCCCTCGCGCAGGTTCGGGGGGAACCCAAATGCTTCCGAAGAGGACCTCCACGTGACCACCAGTAAAATCACACTTATATTTTCAGCGAAAGTTTGTGAGTGTGTGTGTGTATGTTTGTTACTTCTTTACGTCTAAATGGCTGGAGTGAATTTAATAAAATTTGGTAGAGTCTGTGCGGAAATGTGAAAAATGGAACTAACATTAAGATTTTTATTTGGCAATCAAACCCAGCAATATGTAAAACGTCAAAGTTTTATATTGATACGGATTTGTTTGTTGTTGTAATTTCTTGCGGCTTTTTGTATTTAATCATGTCTAAAAGGGGTAAAACCTTACAAATACGGTAGAAAAACACTACAGCGCCCTCCAATCTAAATCCCATTCTCTTTCCGCACAGACTCTATGGAGTTAGCTGAAACCCTAGATTAACATATAGGCTACGTTTTACTGCGGAAAAATATCCTTAATAAGCCGCGGGCGGGGCACAGCGGCACACATAAATAAATATTTCTAACGCTCACATTGATTAACCTAAATAGGCACTGCAAGGGCACTGGTAACAAGATGATTTCTACCCAGCCGGATTATTCGTCACGTTCCACCTGAGCCTGAGCGTGCAAGCGAGAGCGCGGAACAAGTGATAGAGAGGCACGATCGGTCCAAGCGTCGGCTTGTACACATTTATGTGTTCCCGAGGTGTTTCCAGCTCTGAGTCACCAGTAATGTATGGTATACCCCAGGGAAGCACTCTTGGCCCTACACTGTTTCTAGCCTACGTCAATGAGCTCTGCAACCTTAAACTTGATAATGGCAATATTCTGGCGATCGCGGACGATACTGCGCTAATTTTCAAAAATAGAACTTGGGCATTAGTTGAAAGGTCTGCTGAAAATGGACTAAGGAAAGTCATAAAGTGGCTGGATAACAATCTGCTTACAATTAATATACAAAAAACAAAATATGTATGTTTTAGAATCTCTGAGGCTACTAAGCCACCAATCCTCTTCACTATTAAAGCTCATTCATCTTTGTGTGACCTAGAAATTAACTGCAATTGTGAACTCCTAACGCAAACAGATGACCACAAATATCTAGGAGTAATAGTTGACAAGAACCTAAATTGGCACCCACAAGTAACAGCGATAAGCAAAAGGATAAGGAAACTCCTTCCCATTTTTGGGAGCCTCAGAGATACCCCCGACCACAAGCTAATTCGTAAAATTTATTTTGCCCTCTGCCAATCTCTTCTGACATACTGTGTTACGGTGTGGGGTGGAGCAACTGCCTCTTTTCTCCTAGAATTAGAAAGGGCCCAGAGAGCTGTGATCAAAGTTATGTTCTGTAAGCCTAGAAGGTATCCAACCAAACAGCTCTACGAGGAAACTGGGCTTCTCACTGTTTGACAGTTGTTTATATACAACTCGGTTCTCCGCTACCATAAAACCCTGGATCCTACACAGCTGCCCCTAAATAAAAGACGCATTCGTACTCCTGTCCCAATTTGTAGAACAGTGTTTGCTAGACGGCAAGTACACTTCATAAGTCCATTTTTATGTAGATATTTTACAATGATTTAAACAGCATTATGAAACTAAATAGAAATAATCTTAAAACTGCACTTCAAACAAGTTTAGAAACGCTAGATTATAAAAATACAGATACGATATTCAAAATAATAAGTTAAACATTATAAGATGCACACACACACACACACACATACACACACACACACACACACACAAACACACATAACAAACTCCTTTGGCTATTCCATTGAATTAATAACTTAAGAACAGTTATCTGGATTAATAAATTGTTTACTAAATGGTACACAACTTTATGAATAGGGTGGAGGGTTGATTACCTGAGACACAGGATTCGTCCTAGTTCAGGTGGCAACCCACCATAATCTGATCAATACGTACCTTTTATTTTTGGTAAAAAAAATGCATTTTTTTTCTAGTAAACTTTTCTTTAGATTTAAACATCTAGCAGTTAAATGCTTAAAAAATAAATAAAATCATAACTATAATTGCTATTTCTTCTTTCAAATGTTTAATACTTGAAAAAGTATTCATTTGACATTGTGGGTTACCTACAATGCGAAGAGATGGCGCTGCCTTGCAGCTTAAGGCTAGGAAAATTTCGACGCGGCTAATAGGGCCGTGGTAGCATAATGGTCAGTGCATTCGCCCGGATAGCGAAGGATGCGGGTTCGAGTCCCGTCCGCTACCTGGTCCGCGTGGATTTTTTTCTAGTAAACTTTTCTTTAGATTTAAACATCTAGCAGTTAAATGCTTAAAAAGTAAATAAAATCATAAAAAAAATGCATGCTTTTTATATCATTGTTTTTATGTAGCCATTAATACCAACATTGTGAACATTGTGATTATGGTGAGAAATAAAGGTTATTATTATTATTATCTCTCTTTTCGCGTTACGCCAAAACTAGCAATTATATAATTTTTCGTCAATGTTTCTTTATGACGTTATCACATTAAACTATAGTCCGTAAATCGGTACACAGACAACCAATTTTTCGACATTAACAGTGTGTAAGTACGTGCTTTATTCATTGTTGCGCAACGCTAAGAATGTTCAACGTTCACTTTTCTCCAAATAAAATATGGGTGTATTTGAAACTAAGCCCAAACAATCATTTTTGTAAGTGTAATAATTACACCACTCTATTACTGGAAAACTTACCAATCAGTAGAGAACCGTATCTTCACATCAGTCGACACTATTTTGTCACTAAATGTCAAAGTATAATCTCAGATGCCATATTTTTTTTTATTGTTGATGGCAATCTATTGCATCAATATATTTATGTTGTAATAACATAAATAGCATATTTCTTTTTCTAGAAAAAAAACATATATCAGATGTTAAGTGTTTTCAACGTTTTTTAACCCTTAAGGCGTTGAGCAGACGACGGGGCGGGGCGGGCATTTTGTCCGCGAAGCAATAAAGACCGCGTCTGCCCGTCGACGTCTCTGGCTGCCCGCGCCGCGTACACAAAGCACACGACGGGCAGAGGCAGTCAGTTTAGGACGTTCGTTCTAGTGAATAGTCCATCACTAATAAGCGCGTGGCGCGGACTGAGCTGACCGCCCCGCGCCGCCGCCTGCGTTACTGCATATAAACTGGTTTGTATGATCCACGGCGCGGCATGTCCGCGGCTGCCCGCCGTGGATCATACAAACCAGTCGATTGATCATACAAACCGCACCTGCGGCGCGGTCTTTTTGCCCTCTGTGTGCGTTTGAAGTATAGGATTCACTTTGTGCTATTATTCGCGGCGAAATTGACCGGCCCGCCCCGCCCCGTCGTCTGCTAAGCGCCTTAGTCACTAGGTGTTTTTCTTTATGACAAATGGGTGGCAAACAAGCATTTGGCCCATCCAGTGTCGTCCTTAACCTATTGGAGTCCCTGGGCATATTAGGATAATTGGGCCCCTATGACCCCCTTTTGGTGATCTAACAGGAACTAGGGACTTTGCATTTGATCTGAGGTGGGCCCCTATCGATCGCGGGGCCCTGGGCACTCGCCCAAAGTGCCCACTGGGAAAGAGGGGTCTGGGCCCACCTGATGGTATGCAGCCACCATAGCATGTAGACGCTTGTGACACCAAAAATATCACTCACGCCGTTACCTATTCTGACCAATCCCATACCCCTTGAAGCCCTGGAACCTTATTAACCAGGTGTGTGAATGTTTGTATATTACAAATGTTCTTTTATGTCACGAAAAAAGGTCTGCACGCTTTTGGATATGATTTGCCACACAGAGAGGTCATTCAAAACCTTCTCTTAGGTACAGGAACAAACACAGGGAACTAATTTTCCCGGAGATAAAGTAATAAGTGATATATTTGACAGCCACGACTACCACAACCAGCACAACGGTGAACCCACCGCTCGACCCACGCTACCGCCGCGTGTACAACCCTGACGAAGTCGCCTCGGTAGAGGATTACCCGTTCATGGCGGCACTGCTGGTCAACAAGGAGCTGTGGTGTGGAGCGGTCATCATTGACACCGACGCGGTACTAACGGCCGCGCACTGCCTGCAGCTGTATGTAACCTAGCTATATATAAGATGCTTGCATGAAAAGTGCCCGTTCATGGCAGCGCTGCTACTCAACAAGCTGTGGTGTGGGGCGGTCATCATTGACACCAACGCGGTATTAACGGCCGCGCACTGCCTGCAGCTGTATGTAACATAGCTATATATAAGATGCTTGCATGAAAAGTGCCCGTTCATGGCAGCACTGCTACTCAACAAGCTGTGGTGTGGGGCGGTCATTATCGACACCGACGAACGGCCGCGCACTGCCTGCAGCTGTATGTAACATAGCTATATATGAATATGATATGGAATCTCAAAATGCCCCTTTCTATCTCACTTCCCAATTTCAGTACTTATGTACCTCTCTTGCTAAAAATCTTCGATCTTCTTCTTATCGCTTACTTATTGTTCCATCTCATCGCTCTGATATGATTCACTCGTCCTTCTTCGTCAAAGCTATACTTCTGTGGAACGAACTCCCCCTAGATATCAGAATGTCCACCAACAAAATTAGCTTCAAAACCAAGCTACGAAGCTTTTTACAGAAACAAGCAGTCTAGCTTAAACGTTAGTCGTCATCATTATGTATTAGTATGTATATTTATATGTGTATGTATGTATATGTGTGTATGGATATGTATGTATGTATCTGTATGTATGTATATGTATGTATGTATATGTATAGTTATTTATATGTAAGTAATTATTTATGTATGTGTGATTGCTTGCTTCATATTTATATATGTTCGTCTTTCTGTAATTTCCATGTAAGTTGTGCACCCTAACACTATTTATCCACAACACCCTATGGTTGACTGGTAGAGAATGCCTATGGCATTAAATCCGCCTTTGTACACTTGTGCATTAAGTATGAATAAATAAATAAAATAAAATAATATATAAGATGCTTGCATGAAAAGTGCCCGTTCATGGCAGCACTGCTACTCAACAAGCTGTGGTGTGGGACGGTCATTATCGACACCGACGCGGTGCTAACGGCCGCGCACTGCCTGCAGCTGTATGTAACATAGCTATATATAAGATGCTTGCATGAAAAGTGCCCATTCATGGCAGTGCTGCTACTCAACAAGCTGTGGTGTGGGGCGGTCATCATTGACACCGACGCGGTACTAACGGCCGCGCACTGCCTGCAGCTATATGTAACCTAGCTATATATAAGATGCTTGCATGAAAAGTGCCCGTTCATGGCAGCACTGCTACTCAACAAGCTGTGGTGTGGGGCGGTCATCATTGACACCGACGCAATGCTCACGGCCGCGCACTGTTTGCAGCTGTATGTAACCTAGCTATATATAAAGATGCTTGCATGAAAAGTGCCCGTTCATGGCAGCACTGCTGGTTAACAAGGAGCTCTCTCTGCATCTGTATGTAACCTGACTCTTTAAAAGCTATCTGTTTAGTATGTACTCTCCCCTCGCGCTACTTCATCGTCGATGGACACCCTCTGAGCATCGTCCAGTGCGCAGGAACCATTGGAGAACCTTTTCACTCCAACGATCATCGGTTCTCCTCTCTGTGGCCCCAGTGACAGTTGATGGATGCTAAGAAGGTACTCTGTGGGTGCTATCTAATGCAGATACAGCTGGCACCACTAGTAATCGTGCCTTCAGAAAAACGACATAATCATAGCCAAATTTAAAGCAGACCAGGTGAGGTTGTGGCCCACAATCCATGTAAAAATAACTTAGTTATTAAGTTTTCATCACCGCTTCGGCGATTCTTGTTTGTCATACAGAGTCTATTGGTTAATTTCTACAATAAAAAAGAAAGAAAGAAAAAAAAAACATTTATTATATAAGTAGAAGGCAAAAGGTACATCGTCAACTAGGCCCCACCTCAGCATAATGTTGCAACGGCAAATGGATTGCCGCTGCAAAGCTGATATTCTGGAAGGACCTAATTTGGACATCAGCGGACGGAGATACAAGACAATCATTTTAACAAAATATAGAAAGAAAATAAGATTTTTCGTTTAATTTTCCCTCGTGTTTCAGCCAATTCAACAACCGCTTCTTCCGGGAATACGTAAAGATGTTGTCGGTGCGGGTCGGGTCGGACAACGCGACGCATGGCGGCGAACAGCTGCGCGTCACTGACATATTCTTCCATCCGAACTACAAGCCGCAGACGCTGGAGTTCAACTTCGCTGTGGTGAAGTTCCACAAGAACCTCACGTTGGGCCGGCAGGATCGGAGCGTCGACATGGTACCGTACTCCAGAGATCTAATCGTACCTGTGGATAAGAAGATCACCTTCCTGGGTTGGGGGTCGGTGTTGGTAAGACATTTTCATTTTGAAATTAAATGATATAGATAAGAGTGCTTGACATACTAACCAACAGCCAAATCATAATATGAAACATTTAAATTGTATAACATAGGTATTAGCAATAGTTTAATTAATTACAAAAGTGCCAAATTAGCAATTAATAGATTCTACTTAAATAAATACTGAAGATCTACGATCAAATACATCTATTTCTGCTCCAATAACGACGAGTTCATTAAATTGGCGACACATACGTGATAGAGGGTTATAATAGGAAGTTTTTATTGATATGCGGAATGAAAAAACGTCATAGGTAAAGCAATAATTAATATTAAAACTAATATGGGATAGCAGATACAGCACGTAACTCTAGCGCTGAACAAAACGCGTCAGGGATAGCTGCGCATGAGTACGACTAGAGAGACAATCTGCGCAACGCACGTCCGCCCGCGCACCTCGTTTCCCCCCAACACATCTTAATCACGATAATATTGTCTATACAGTATTGTGACTTGGCCACGGTAATATTATCTATACAGTATTGTGACTCGGCCCTGTCCTTGAAATAAATGCCTACGGCCGAGCGGTGCGTAAAACGCGGTAGGGCTGCCCGTCTACAGTATTTTAATTTCATCTACATCTACATAATTGAGTTTCTTTCTAGTTTTGATATTGTAAATATTTTATTTTATATGTAAAGATTCTCCGCATGCCCATATACCCATATCGTAGGAATGCATTAAAAATAACTATTCCTTCATTCATTCCTGGTCTCTTTTCCAAATTACCTAATAACCTGCCAGTATACACCAAAAATATCCGATCACTACAATACCTACCATTTATTACTCTCGTACATTATTTCATAATGATATTTCATTTAATTCAATAATGTATTAGTTAAGTTAAGTAAGTAGATAGCCTAGTCTAGGAAAGTACCTACCTATTATGTAGTTTTGTTTTTAACGTGAGTGTAGGTAGATTACTCGTTTGTCTCTTTTTTCACCCTATCCACTTATTTATATATTATTCCAGATATTTTTTCCGATGGAAAAATCGAAATACCTAAATATTAAAAACAAATTACGTACTAGTAGATAAGGAAATTAAAAACATATTCTATAGTCTTACCTTTCCAATATTTCAGGTAATTTAAAAAATGATATCTCTGGGTGCGTTATTGAAGAGTTCAAGCAACCAAAAACAGCACAATATCGGTGTTTGTTCTTTGCCATATTAAATTATGTAGGTATCTACTTAATTCAAACAAATATTTACAATACAAATCGGACGTTTAAGCACGGCTAACTGCATAAAAAACAATTCACACCGTTCGGTCGTCGCTGCGGCGCATTCGCGACTCGGTGTCCCCCGAGAGTCCCGCGAACTCGAGTAGGTATGATTCGCTTTCCGACCGTTTGTATGAAGATAGAATACTGTATATAATATTACCGTGTCTTAATTTTTACTTCTGCGCAATAACGAGTTTCGTGCCGCGACTTATACGAAGAATCTAACTAAGAGTGAATACTACGACGATTCAGAATATCCCACAAGGTTGTCCACTTCCCTATACCTATATCACCTATTTCTATAGGATTGATTTTTGCAGGGTGTCGGCGGCCTGGGGGGTAAAGTCCTCCTACAAGAGGTAGACTTGCCGATTTACGACCTTGCTGATTGCCAAGAAATTTACGGAAGGTAAAAAACCCAGCGCTTGTGATATCATCTCAGAGCATATACAATAGGGATGATGACTAATTTTTTTTTCTTCGTTTATCAGGTAGATTAGCAAAAAGTATTGGACACGTATTTTTTCTTTTTTCACATAATATAAACATTGCAGAGATATATTGATTTGAAAAGTCGCATGACGTCACGTTTGAGTACACTTATGAGTGAAAATTAACTCAAAAGTGACGAGCCCCTACTCCCAAACTTTGACGCGCTATAACTTTGTCATTTTTTGGTTGATTGCCCAAAGAAAAAATACGTGTCCATTATTTTTTGATCATCTAACTGACGGACTAAATAGAATTTCGTTTACTGTACCCCGTCATTACCCCTATTGCATAGTTACATAAAAATTGTAAGCGTGTGTGTGTTTTTTTGTTTGTGTGGCGTAATTTTTGAAGTGTGCGTTTATAGCAACAACACGGTCGTGTTTGTGGGAGTATTGCATATTTTCGTTAGTGTGCTACACGTGTGTACCCCGTCCAGCGCCAAAAGTACCGGAAAATTTTGTGCGGCGAGTGGACGGTATGGCAACTCCATTGGTCTGCTCTAAAGATATTGTCACAAACGCTCTCGAAACGTAACCGCGAATTTGCCAGATCACCGCGGGTCGCGATAGAGGTCGAGTAAGGCGGCATTCTAAAATGAGCCTTATGCAGTGTGGCATAAGGGAGAAAGTGCAACGACACCTGCACTTGTTTACAATTTATGCGTGTTACCTGCGTAGGTATAAGTAGGTATTTCGTACTCGCGGGTGCTAGCTAATTCTCAATTTAACGGGTACTTTCTAGAATGCGTCGATCGGCGTCGAAGCGCGATTGGCGCCGCGCAGAGACAGTTGAGTTTCAACAGCGATTTCGGAGCGAATCCAAAGGCGATCTAAGTGCAACAAAAGTGTTCAAGTGAGATTGTTTAGAGACTTGTATAGTGAAATACAGTGTTTAGTTAGTGTTTTGTAATTAACATTGTGTGTTAATTGTGTGAACTGTGTGGTGAATAAAGAACTCCCGACACGTAACAATATCATTGATGAGAGGGAACTAATATCGTCAATATACCTTTGTGAAACATAACATAAAATAAGGTTTTTCCCGCAATTCAGAGGAACAACTTTCTTCGAATGAATAATTGAATTTAGCGTGTTTATTAAATGTACTTAAAGTTTGAGGTATGTTAAGTGGTGTGAGCGTGTCTAAGTGTCGCCGCACACAGGCCACACGCCACAACCACAAACGCCGCGCCGCCACGAGAAGCTAGAAGCGGCTACTAAAGCGGCTGAAGCGCGCGACAGCGGCCGACTAAGGTAAGGGAGAGAGGTGTGGGAATGTGGCGGCGTTTTGTATATCGGCGCATTAAGTGGCCGGTGCGGGCCACAAGAAGCAAGCAACGACGATTTGTAGCGTGTGGCGGCCACCGGCGTACTGTGTGTGGCGAGTCCATATAATATGCGAGTCGTATAGTATCAAAGGCGGCAAAGTAGGGCGAACCAAATATTTGGCAAATCAAAAAAAACTGTTTAGTCTCGTCTTTAAGGGAGGATTAAAATTAAAATATTGACATTTCACTACGACATGCAGTTATGATGAATGTCAATTATAAAAAACCTCCCTTAAAGACGAGCCTTAACAGTTTTTGAAGTTATACTTCTTTAGGCGCGTTATGAAAAAATGATGAGAGTGAAATTTTAAGATGCGCGCGCATCACTGTAACACAAAATTTTAACAGCATGTCGCTTTAGCGACCAACTTCATGCGTTACTTTTGTGTTTACCGCACATTAAGAAAATCTACCAACAAAATAGAAATAGAATCTCTATTTAGTGGGTGCTAACGACTGCATTGTGAAGGCCTATCAAAAGTAATTATTAATCTGGAACAACGAAACCAAAGCGCGATTCAGGAGACTACAGCGCCATCTCTTGACCATTGGTGTAGTAGAACCAAAAACCACATCTTTATTTTTTGTAATAAAGTAACAGTTATAGGTATTCATATTTATAATATTTATCCACATGTTTCTAGTTTGTATATTCGGAATACGTGTTTGAGTTTCATACAATTGCAAATCACATATGTTCTAATAAATTATATTCAGTAGCGATTTTAATTGAATATTTTGATTATTTATTTATTTTTTCAAATTAAAACTGAACTTTATTGACTGTGTCCTTTTCCAGACTTTTTATTAATTTATTGTAATTAATTATTTGCATGCAATTAAAAACAAATTTTAAACGATGCCAAAGAAGGATAACTTCTCACGCGCCTACATAAGTACACGCACCCATTTTTTTTTTTTATTTTCCAAATATTTGGTTCGCCCTACTTTGCCGCCTTTGATACTATACGACTCATGTATGAAAACTACAAGGAATATGCCGGTGGCGGCGTTTTGTGGTTGTGGTCGGTGGCCCGTGTGCGGCGACACTTACTGAAAACATTTCCTTCTAAGAAAATATCCCACATTAGGTAGATACTTTTGCCGCAGTGCGCGCGTTTTTTGTCCTACTTATATCATTTCATATTCCACACCCTTGCAGCAGTTCTGCCATGTTCCGCTGGACGGTTTTTCTACCATAGTAGTTTCGCACAGAAAAGGCCTCTGACTCGCCAATAGGGACATAAACAGGCTAATAAGTGGTTGTATTACAGCCTTCTTACATCATCGTCATCATCATCATCAGCCTATTAATGTCCCCATTGCTGGGGCACAGGCCTTCCTTATGGATGGAATAGGGAAATTGGGCCATGACTCACCACGCGGGCCCAGTGCGAATTCGCGGGTGCTAACGACTGCAGATGCAGCCGGGACCAACGGCTTGCCTTCCGAAGCACGGAGGAACTCAAGATAGTAAATTTTTGGTCACCCATCCAATGACCGACCACTGCGAAAGTTGCTTAACTTCAACGATCGCAGCCGAACGCGTTAACCACTTGCGCCATTGAGCTCCTCCTTCTTACATATTAACAATGATTTAACTATTTACTTGTTATTTCAACCAGGAACCTAGTTACGAGGAACAACTTCTGCGCCGGCTACATAACCCTTCAGAAAAACGTTTGCAATGTAAGTCTTATTAATAAATAATAACTATAACTGCTATTTCTTCTTTCAAATGTCTAATACTTCTAAAGGCATAAATTTGACATTGTTGGTTACCTACAATGCGAAGAGATGGCGCTGCCTTGCAGCTTAAGAAAGGTTAGAAAGAATTCGACATGGCCGTCAGGACCGCGGTAGCATAATGGTCAGTGTATTCGCCCGGATTGAGAAGGGTGCGGGTTCGAGTACCGTCTGCTGCCTGGCCCGCGTGGAATTTTTACTAGTAATATTTTCTTTAGATATAAACGTCGAGCAGTTACAGGCTTAAAATATAAAAATTACAATAAATAAATAATTGTCTGTGAAGAGATAGTGGCATAGTGCGGGCTTTAGCTAGGGTTGCCACCCGTTGGGGGGATGTCTGAGTAGGGGGGGATGTCTGAGTAGGGGGGGATGTCTGAGTAGCCTCGGCCGCTCGGACCCCCCGCGGATGGTGTCGCCCGCTCTTCCCCCGTCTTCTCCTAGGAGAAGATCCGGGGAGACGTAGGCGACCGGGAGGGGGGAGAGGGACGGGAAGAACTACGCTTCCCCTCCCGGTCCTCCCTTCCAGGAACGGCGGCCCTCCTCATGTGGTTCTGTCTGCAAGGGGAGGGTGGCGGAGGGCTTTAGCCTTCCGCAGCGGATGGGGGGCGGTATGGTGGGCAGTAGGCCGCGTACCCAGCCCCCACGCGCGGGCCTACCTGCGCACGTCTGCGGGGTCCCCGAAATACCGCGGGAGACCCCTGCCGTGGAGCCCCGGCGAGGCCGGGAAGCTGCTGGGGGCGAAGCCGTGGTAGACTCCCTAAACGGGGACCCCGCGGCTTCGCGCTAAGCAGTGTAGAGGTATTCGCAGGACTTTTTTAGCGGATATTATACCGTAAAGCGCCCGTAAGAGTTGCGGGGTCCTCGGTGGGTAGCCACTAGGGGGTCCGTAAGACTTTCGGGAGCCAGGTGTGAGGTCCGTTCGGCGGTGTGCCTCTTACAGGCGCCGTCGTCTGTAAAAAAATTTTTTACCTGCGTTAAAAAAAAAAAAAAAGGGTTGCCACCCGTATTTTATTATAAAGTATTGTACGTTATTTCGGGTAATTGTACTCTATACTTTATGCCAACAATAAAGTACGTGAAATACTTTATTTGATGTGATTTGATTCATCATCATCATCATCATCAGCCTGTTAATGTCCCCACTGCTGGGGCACAGGCCTTCCCTATGGATGGAATAGGGAAATTGGGCCATGACCCACCACCCGGGCCCAGTGCGGATTGGTGGGTGCTAACGACTGCAGATGCAGCCGGGACCAACGGCTTAACGTGCCTTCCGAAGCTCGGAGGAACTCGAGATAGAAGATTTTTGGTCACCCATCCAATGACCGACCACTGTGAAAGTTGCTTAAAATCAACGATCGCAGCCGAACGCGCTAACTACCTGCGCCATCGAGCTGCTGATTTGATTACCTGGGGATAAATTTTTCATAAATTTACAAATAGATTTCATAATTTTGCGTAAAACGGAACAACAGTATGTATAATATGTCGCCCTTAGCTCATTCCTGCAACATAGTCGCGGCTGTATGGCTTTGCACAATGGTCTTTCCCATTGCGGATAAGAAGTACAGATTTTTAGAAGTCCCAATTATTTATTAAAAGTTGCTAGAAGCAACGCAAAGTATATTTTTAAGCTTAGTAAGATACTGGAATAAAAAGTACTTTATTACAACCCTAGCTTAAGCCCAATGCCGCAAGCTTTAGTCACGCTTAGAGATGGGTTTCTGCCCAGGCATTTTGGGCATATTCCGTATTTGCCCAATAAATGTCCATTTCTGTCCAATAAATGTCCTTAAGACTGGGCATTTATTATTTTAGTTTATTTTTTTATAGGTAAATAACTTTATTTAAATATTTGATGATTTTATAGAGAAGGCAAATTCTTTTCCTTAGATTTTATTTAAAATGTATATTTCGGTCCATAAAATAATATTTTTGTGACAAGTGTTACGAAATATGATAAGTTATTATTCATTGTTTTTTCCAAAAAAAATGAACTCAACAAATGGGTGATACACAAGCATCTCAACAATTTGTGTTTATTTGCATCCCCTTCGCACGATGCATAAGTGACCTTGAATAAACCAAACAGAGAGCCGCGATTCCCATTACCTTCTCTGCGTCTCTGGGTTGTTCTTTGTTGGTTATCAGATGGGTCAGTTTCAGACTAGTGTTGGGTAGGACACGACTTGAAAAAGAGTTTGTAAGAGTAGCCTCTTTCTTGTACTGAGCCAGTACAATGTCCCACTTCAAATGAGGCGAGGCGTACTGAAGCACGGCAATACATTTGAAGTGACGAGTACAAATATGACATTGAGGCGTACAGAAGCTCGACATTACGTTTGTGTGCACGAGTAGCACCTCCTCTACGCACTATCAATCTTGCTGGATCCAGCATGCAGGACAGCGCTATACACGTAAAAGAGATACAGATGGATAATGCGTAGAGGACTTAAATAAAATGACATGCCTCGCTCTCCCTCAGACTTACGAAGAGTGAGTGAGTAACGAGACGCGACTATCGCGACATTTAATGTGAAGTAGTACATTTTAAAATTTTGAGCCGCTCTTACATTTTGACATCATGTCCGGGACAAATGTACCGCCTCTTGTAAGTCCTACTCAACACTATTTCAGACGCCCGTGCGCACTCGCCCGCACTCGTCTCGCGTACTTTAATAGTAAAAAAACATTTTTCCTAACTTAGACAAAGTTTCGGCTATTTTGGGAGGTAAGTAATATTTCTCTTATTCTTGTCTATACTTTAAAGGTTTTTTCTGCACTGATCATATTGGTGAAGCCAAGCCTGTGGGTGGCTACTTTATATGATCAGTTAACAAAAATTATGGTAATAAAATATTCTCATTTTATATAGTCTTTTTATTATTACTTTACTTACTTACTTTTAAACTTAATATTCATCATGTCAGCCGTACGACGCCCACTGCTGATCATAGGCCTTGCCCAAGGATCTCCACACCGATCGGTCCTACGCCACTCGCATCCATCGGCGTCCCGCGACCTTTACAAGATCGCCGGTCCACCTTGTAGGGGGCTTGCCTACTGAGCGCCGTCCGGTGCGTGGTCGTCATTCCAGCACCATTCCGCCCCAACGGCCATCGGTTCTTCTTGCTACGTGTCCCGCCCACGGCTACTTCAGCAGAGCAATCGTTCGAGCGTTATCGGTTACTTTGGTTCTCCTACGGATTTCCTCATTTCTGATTCTATCGCGTAGGGAAACACCGAGCATCGCTCTCTCCATTGCTCGCTGTGTGACCTTGAGCTTTCTTATGAGACTCGCAGTAAAGGACTATGTCCCGCTTCCGTAGGTCATCACTGGCAATACACACTGGTCAAAGACTTTTGTCTTGAGACACTGAGGTAATTTGGACGCGAAGACTTTCCGTAGCTTCCCGGACGCTGCCCATCCGAGCTGAAAGTTGGACTTACCTAACTGGACTGACTGTCCTAGGTTAACGTAACAGTCGGCAACTTCGAATGTAGTGTTTCCAATTTTAGCTGAAGCAGGTACTACATAGGCATTCGACATAATTTTCGTCATATCCCTGTTCATCTTAAGACCCACTTTTTGGGAAGCCCTACTAAGATCATCGAGCATCGTGTTAAAATCTTCCAAGGTTTCAGCCATAAGAACTACATCGTCGGCGAAACGAAGGTGCGAAGTACCTTTCGCCATTAATGTTAATGCCTCGTCCTTTCCAATCCAGAATCATGAAAATATCCTCCAATGCTGCTGTGAACAGTTTTGGAGATATCTCATCTCCCTGTCTCACGCCTCGCTGCAGTTGGATAGGATTAGAGCGCTGGTTCGGTAATCGGACTGACATAGTGGCGTTTTCGTAAAGGTACCTTAATACCTCAACATACCTGTAGTCTACTTGGTTCTTTGAAGAGACTGTAACACCGCCCAGGTCTCAATCGAAAGCTTTCTCATAGTCCACGAACGTCAAGCAAAATGGCAGATTATACTCTTCGGTCTTCTGTATAACCTGCCGCAGCGTATGAATGTGGTCTATGGTACTGAAGCCTTTTCTTAAAACTTAATAATATAATATTTAAAATAAGGAAAGATTTGACTTTTGTCATTCAAATCTACAATTAAGTAATTATAAAAGCATAAATCAAAACTTATATTTGTCCCATCAATACTAAAAATGCGAGGAAGTTATAAGTAAGGACTGATTTTAATGCTAATGACTTAAGATGAACACTTTTGATTTTTGTATGAAGGACCCCGAAGAAAATGAGAGTAAATTGTTTACTATGAACTCCATAAATCAGACTTAAACATGTTGTATAAAGCTTATGAATTTTATTTCTGTTATATACATATAACCCAACCCAGCGACTGGACATTTATTTGGACGTAAAAACGTTTTTTCCCTATTTGCCCAGTATATGCCCTTTTTGCCCATTTGGGTTTTTACCCTTGACCCATCTCTCACGCTCATTTATTTGCTATTCAATTTTTGAATCCTTCGTAACGTATCGCATCGTCAAAGTTTCTTTGAAAACTAAGCCCCCTGTCGGACGTAAGAGCAAACTAGCCTTTTCCGTACAAAATTTGACGATGACTATACGATTAAGAATCTGCCAAAGTCCGTGCTCGGACCTCGGATCTGTCAAAGATCGTCCTTGGGGTACTTTACTTTCAGTTAGATTAGATAACTTTTCGCTGAAAGTCCAATATTAAAGAAAATGAGCGTGAGGTATTTGAAAACCTTCCGCGGTCAGAAATAACAAAGAGAAATCGTAAGCGATAGCGTTTTCCATAGCAATCCCGTTAGGCGAATGGCCCCCAGTAACTACTTGAAGAAATCAGTTGGTTTAACGATGATTTTGATGAAGTTTAGGATGCGATGAGCGTTCGAAAATTTCAAAAATAAATTTGTCTGACATATACTGTCGCCGAAATTTCAAAGGAGGTTCGACGCATTCTACCTGCATTGCTTTAATGGGGCACTTAGATTCTGGGCTCATTTCAACATTTTTCCTTTTTTTTCTAACAATTATGCAGCACGACGCGGGCGGTCCCGCCATTATGGACGGCGTTTTGGTCGGCATCCTCTCGTTCTCCTCGAAGCGCTGCGACCAGCCCGACCAGCCGGCGGTGTTCTCTACAGTAGGAGTCATAGCGCCATGGCTGGAAAAACTTGAAGAAAACGTCGTCAAGACACGGTAAACTAGCAGTGTTGCCAACACGAAGTTTTTAGAGCTAGATTTGGCTCTAAATCAGCTTGGTTAGCTTTAAAAAAGTAGGTCTAGCTCTTTAGCTCTACTTTTCTACAATTTAAGCTTTTTTCCATTTACACTTTGAATAAATCCTTTTGTATTATTTTTAGCTCAAAATACTTGAGTCCATAGTCAAAATGTGAGGGTGTTTATGAAAATTTACGTCACCAGTTGGCGCCACTGTGTCGTGAGGTCTTTTGTATGAAGTTTTTAGCGCCAACTCCATAGACCAGATTCATAGACTATGAGATCGTATGCGATTTGACGGATGATTAGACCTTTCGTCTCAGTACTGCCACCTGCTGCCTGTCATTCCAAAAAACCCTCATGCAAATGCGAGTTTAATTCTAAAAAAAGATGATTTATTTAATCATATAAATAGAAAAAAACACCTTAGAGTAGCGCAACCATTTTCAGTGGGATAATCAAAATTAAGTTTTTCTCCGAAACCGAAAATTGATTCTGTGACAAATTCCGCTGAAGGCTCATTGGCCCTTTTTATAAGCGCTCATACTTCAATATTACCTGTCAATCGCCTTGGTGTACCATGTAATAAACAATTCAAAGATGCCGAAAACTTGAAATCACACAGAACAAAATGTAGTGTTACCATAAAGACTGTTCCAAGTCCGCATTTTATAACCGAATCAAAAAGAGATATAGGCGATGGACCATTCAGTTTGCTATTACATGAGACTGATATCAGTGTTACTAAACTGCTCGATTAGTAGTGCAGTATTACAGCAAAAAAAAGATTTGAAATAGTTACGACCTTAGCCAAAATAAATAAAATGATCCCGAATCCATTATAAACGTCGTTCATATTGATTTTTAATAAATGGTACATACAAATAATTTTGCTCTTTTTTCTACAAAAATCTAGCTCTTCTTTAGCTTTTTTGACGTGACAACGTCTTAAATTAGGTTGCGGCTGGGAGTCACTTATGAAAAAGTGTAACGCTCGGTAACGTTACGATGAGTCTCTCGTGTTAAGTTTAAGTTTACATGTACAATGTTTTAGTAAACAAAATATATTTCTATAGTTAAAATTTGTGCAATTCTTATTTTCATTCAATTCCTTGTTCCTATTGTGCAATTTAATTATATTCATATCAATAAATATTCTACCGAGAAAAAGACGTTGTCACGTAAAATCTTCGCCCGTAAAACCGACTTTACAGGCAACCATTTTTTTTTTGATATGATCTAGCTCCTTTTAAAATCCGAGTTGGCAACACTGTAAACTAGTCCAATCCTAATAACATTGGACCGTCTATTTGGAGAATTAATCTCCGCCAGAGAATTAATGTACTGGTTGTTCTACCCTTCAGCTGGAATACGAAAAACTTTCATTTTATGTCCAGGTTCTATTTAGGTTTTTTTGACCGTCGTAGTCATGCTTATGGCACTGTAGCTGGAAAAACTGAAAGAAAACGTCGTCAAGCTACAGTAAACATTGTATATAATCTGTACCCATAGTACGAGTTTTACAATTACGAAAACTATGATAGTTTTCTCACTAAGTCACTTGTACTAAGAGTACTGATTTTATTGTTTTCGTTTCAATACAAATCAACAGTGTTTAAATTCTATTAAATCATTTACGTCTTCTTAAATTTTATGTATATTTGGTTACTTTTCACCAAAATGGACATAGAAACATAATTTACAATTACGAAAACTATGATAGTTTTCGTGAGCTCAAACTCGTACTAAGGGTACTGTACCTTAAAGCACAAATCAATATCGAATTCGTAACGTTTGCGAGTCCGAAATATCATTGTCAAATGTGTACTGATTTTTAGTTCTCGTTACGTACTTTGTGCCGCTGCTGTTCAACTTTCCATACAAAATTTGACATTGACATTTCGCACTCGCAAACTATTCGAATTCGATAATAGTTAGTGCTAGGGGTACTGTAACACGTCAGCGATGTTATCCACCGTCGTGGTAATAGCGCCGTGGATGGAGAAACTTGACGAAAACGTCTTCTTGCTACGGAAGCCATTGTACTCATCTATTCTAGTTATATAGTCGAAGTACTGCAACAAGCCCGACCAGTGTTCTCTAGTCATAACGCCGTGGCTGGAGAAACTTTAAGGCGCTTTGCAGATGACGGGGCGGGGCGGGCTTTTTGTCCGCGAAGCAATAAAGACCGCGTCTGCCCGTCGATGTCTGCGGCTGCCCGCGCCGCGTACACAAAGCACACGACGGGCAGAGGCAGTCAGTTCAGGACGTTCGTTCTAGTGAATAGTCCATCACTAAAAAGCGCGTGGCGTGGAGTGAGCTAGCCGCCCCGCGCCGCCGTCTGCGTTACTGCATATAAACTGGTTTGTATGATCCACGGCGGGCAGCCGCGGATATGCCGCGCCGCCAGTACCCGCCGGGCACCCAAGGCGCGGTCTTTTTGCCCTCTGTGTGCGTTTGGAATATAGGATTCACTTTGTGCTATTATTCGCGGCGAAATTGACCGGCTCGCCCCGCCCCGTCGTCTGCAAAGCGCCTAAGAAAACATCGTCAAGCTACAGTAACCTCACTTTAAAATAAGTTGGAGGTAGCTGCCGCAGGTCCTTGTTTTTTTGCTCTCTTCAGCAGTGACCAGCGGGGTCTTTATGTGGTATTTGGAAAAGGCGTTACCTGAACCACCGGGAGTAGCGCGAAGAGGGTATCTGAAGACTCCTCCCCGCTTTTATTCAGTCCCAAGTCTAAGTCAGGATAAAATGAGCAGGGCCCTACCCAGTAATACCTCGGGAGACCCCTGCCGTGGAGCCCCGGCTAGGCCGGGAGGCTGCTGGGTGCGGAGACGCGGAAGAATCCTTAAACGAGGATCCCGCGGTTTCGCACTAAGCAGCTTAGAGGGTATTCGCAGGGTTTTTTAGCGGATATTATGCCGTTAAGCGCCCGTAAGAGCTACGGGGTCCTCAGTGGGCAGCCACTGTGGGGGCTCGTAAGGTTTGCGGGAGTCAGGTGTCGTCTGTAAACAGTTTTTGCCTGCTCACAAAAAAAAGGCCCTACCCAGTAAAACCAGATAATACTCCTGCATCTACCCCCCAGCTCAAATTGTGTGGACCAAAGTTCACGTAATGTGTACCGGAGAAGAGTTTTTGTAGAATTTTAATTTAATTGCGATGAATTAGCCATTAGTCATTTTCAAACACAAATGCATGTGATACCTTTCAATTAGAATCCTTTCAAAGATATTTTTTAAGTAGTTATGTAGATCGCCAAGTGGAGCGCGAAGCAAACACTGCCGTACCATCCTTTACTGGAACCATAATGTTGAAAATTATTACGCACTGAAAGAGCTCGCCGCGTCGCAGCCATTCTGGTATGGATCAGCCCTTAATGAGTAGCCCTCCTGAGCAGCCGCTAAGGCTGGAGTTCAATATCTTATTTGATTGAAGCTATCTACACTGTCAATGAAGAAAAAGGCATGTCTTATATCGTCTTTATACGCCAGGATAGGGTGCCGATTCGCGCCCAGAATGGAGTTTTGTTTTTTGTTAAAAAAATTTTTAGATGTAACATGGATGGATTTAATCTAGCAGACAAATGCTTAAACAAATTAAGACACGACTTTCAGGATTTATGTATGAATAATAAACTTTGTTATTTTCTAATTTCAGCAAAACCGCAATAAAATCCATCAATCCGTAAAGAAAACAATCAGCAACCGTACATCAATAATATATTTTCTAATACTGTACACACCAGTGTCCACACATTTCACCAAAATGTAACAATAAGAATCAATAAAATAAATAAAAACATTATTAATATTTTCGTTTTCAATATCTTTAATTTCTATTCAACATACAACATTGAATACAATTTACGAGTACATACGAGAAGGTAAGTTATTTAAATATTTATCAACATAGGTATAACGTTTTTAGCGGATCTTCAATTTAATTCGAATGGAATGATATCGAGCTGATTTCACGATACATACAATATAAATAAGCTTATCTATATCAATTCAACAATTATAATCATGGTAATATGGCGAAATAAGCAAATTTTAATTTACAGCAATGGCGCAATTCTATACGGTCTCAATGTTTGCGTACGCCATCATCTAATCTCAAGCTCATCATTGGCGAAAGCGCCAAATTTTAACGTATAATAACTGTAAAGTGCCTATCGATTAAAAACTGAATTATAATAACTTTATGGGCTATAATAGTGTGACCGCAAACGCGACGATTTATATTTATGCTTAATTCAAGCGATAGTTGACGTGAAGCTCCGGCTTGATGTCGTAGACCAAGTTGAGGATGTCTTTGATCACCTAGATAAAGAAAAAAACAATCCATAAAAACATGTACGGCAAAATATAACATTGAAACGGCTTAAAACGCGCGCCTTTATTGAAGGTTTTCTTAGCTTGTCACAATTTTGTTGTTTGCAATGCATCAGTTGCCCCGTGACCACGACCTGGTCAAAACGTCGGGATAAAAAAGAAGGTACAAAAACCATTAATAAAATGCGCGTTTTAAATATTATATTTATAATGCAACGCCAAAGTATCAAAGTGTAAGTATGATAAAATTAATAAGTCATTTTCACAGCACCAATATAATGAGACAGTCCATGTTTGCGACTTTAAAGAGAATAGGTAGCCAAAAAAACATGAAACTTACCACCAATCCTAACCAATTAAAATTAATAACAATATACTTGTGGACCTAATTGTGAACCCTGTGAAATCCCATTGAGTAAATTATTCCATGAACAAAATTGAGGCATTAAAAAATTATGAGTTGTAAAAGGTGACTAATTGAGAGATTCAAACTGATGTGAACTTGTGGGCCCAAATATGAACCCTGTCAAAGCCTAATAAAATATTTAGGACTATAGGACACTGTCGCATTCATGAGATCCTCCTATAACCCGGGACCCATTAAAAGAGACGTGAAGAAGCAATGTACAGGCTGGCAGGGTGAAGATGGCTGGTGTGGCAGGTAGAACTGCTGTGCCAGGTATATTTGTGACTGGACTCCATTGTCACTTAACATCAGGTGACGAGGAGTCATCTGTGGGACCTATTTAAATAAAAAAGAAAGTCAGTGTACACACCAGCTCTTGTTTCTGCTGCACCATTATGTTCATTTCTTCAATCTTAACTTTGGTCTCGGCATCAATTTTAGCAGCCACACCTTCCCTTGTACCCATGTGCTAAAAAGAAATATTTTGCAATTATTGAATTTTTCCTTACATATTAATTTTTTCTTTTGTTCCTAAACATGTCAATCTGAATATTCGTTTTTAATCTACACATGAAGTAAATGAGTGTGTGTACATGAAGTAGAAGTTTAGTCTACTTAATTTTTTAGATAAATAGACTAGAATATATGCATTTGCACATTTTAGTCCCTTTTCATTAGCTGGTGCATATTTTAACTTAAAAACTAGTGATGTTGCATTTTTCCATGCTATATTAACAATCTTTCAAATATTATAATTAAATTTCCCTTGAGTAACCATGACTAATGTATTTATTTACACTACACTAATAGCAATATGTAGGTATTAAACAATACTGTTTCTGTAAAAGCTGATTAATTATTTATTACCTATGAAGAAATAATTAATTACTATTATATCATTTGGTGTTGCATATTTAGACACTACATGCGTAGCTTATCAGACACGGTCTGTAAACTATCTTATTATTACCCATTCAACATCTGCTATATCAAAAACTAATTACCGCAACTCTTAATTTTGCACATAATATATAATGTTATCAAACCAATGCAAATATTTTGCTAAATGAAACAAGTAAGTTTTATTTTGGGATTGAAAAATCGGAGTCCAAAAGGCTTCATTTCTCTACCCCATAAAACACTATACTCTGTTCACCGAAAGGAGCTAATGGAAAGCTTTTCTTTCACACAATTCACAAGCTTACAAAAGACGATGGAAAACTGCATCACACAAGATAGGGGGCTGTCATTGGCTGAAGTAATAACAACAGTAAAAAACAGCCAATGGCAGAAAAGCTTAGCTTTCATCTGTAGCTTGTTTCCGTGAATAGTAACTTTACTCACTACAGGAATACAATGCTTATGAATTCAAATATAATGTTTTTGCCTTCTATTTGGTGTATGACAATTCCTCAGACAATAAATTCCAATTTTCTTTTACGAAGCTATAATTTAAAGCTTTTATTCCAAATTTGGTTTTAACACATGTTACTATTATGTTCTTCTTGATACTAGAAATCTTGAAAATGAAACCAATGCAACAAGAGACGTTATACTTTACCTGAACAAGTATAAATTTTATTGTATGTTTCTAAAGCCTAAAGGAAATATAAAAAAGATCTTTAATAACAAGATACCTTGGCCTCAAATTCCTTGAACTGCCTCTCTCGTTCCTGTCTGTACTTTTCTACCTCATCTTGGGCCTCCTCCTTGGCTTGCTTTAGACGTTTCGCTTTTCCTGAAACATAACAGACATAGGTATTATGTTCTACAAACTATATAAAAACTTCAGCAATAATGTTAAAAAAATAAAGTACCATTGAATTATTTATCACTATGCACACATATTTCCTAAACATGTGACTGGTTAGTCCTACAATAATTTATATATTCATAATTAGCCTTTTTGTTGGTCTCATGACACAAACATACAGTAACAGCATGTCAGGTTATACAACACTGTTCTCTTTTGATTTGCAATTAGGTATTTTAAATTATAATGTAAATAAAAACCAATTATGACATTTTGGGACTTTATGTAAATGCTGCTTAATTTGACCATGCAAAGGGTCCACCCTTGTGGGATTGACAAAATTTAGTTACTGATCTGAAACTAGTAAAGTAATTCACATCCCAAGTCAAACATAATCCTGTTAAACTACATGGCAAAGACGTTATGTGGACAATCGCACAGTGATTAACTAAAATCATGTGACTGAAGAACATGGTTTAAGAGAAATGTAAATAATTTGTGAAAAGGACATTGAGAGGAAAGAGACATGGAACCCATTATGACCATGAAATTTACAGAAAATCAAGATTAACGTGTAAATTACAATGAATGTCCAATCAAATAGTCTAGAGTTCTTCCACGAATAAAAAAAGACGGTTTCATGAAAAATTATAAACCCAGTGGCAGATAATGTATCAAGTGGGTGTAACAATATACGCAGTAATCCAACTTACGCTTTCTCGCCTCGGAGACTTTTTCGGCAGCCCGCTTTTCAGCAGCCAATAGTTGCTGGATTCCCTGGGTCTGGCTCGCCATTTCTGATACACACAAAAACTATGTCGAGCGAGAATCGAGACCAAGACACGAATCAATAGATGTAAGCAGCAGAATTATGACGAAAGTCATATGATTACTTTAGTTCCACCATGTTGTCACAATTGGCGCTGTCATCGACTCGTGCTTTTGTGCTAGTGCGGAAACGGAACGTAAGATCCTACACAAAGACATCATTATTTCAATGACGGTTTGTTTTTTGTCAGAAATAAATAAAAACATTTAACTTACTTTATCAAAACAATATTAATAAATTATTCAAATAAAAATCAGGAAATAATGTAGTGTCTATTTCAAGATTTTACGTAAAATGAAATGAATGTAGGGGGCTTGTTGAGATTCGAAGCTTCTTAGCAATGGTCATAGATGGCGCAGTAATGCAATCATATAAATAATTATTAGAAATGTGAAAATATTTTATAAAAACAAATAGGTCCCAGCCCAGATTAATTAATAATACAATTTACAATGTGTTTTACAGTAATATTTATCGGCATAATTATAATACATAATTATGACATTATATTTTTTTTAAACAGTGCAACATTGTTTAATATTAATCTATCACAAAATTACGCGGTAATATTTAAATCCGTAAACTGCTCAGCGACCACATAATTACAAAATACATTAATTTAGGTAGCAGTGTTCAAATTTTACCCAGCTTATGGATTCTGTCAGCTGCATTTTAATACTGTATTTTATTATTAATAAAAAATTTCGTAAGCATTAAGTAATAAATATTAATAACCCCAATATTGTAAAAATTAAACAGCTCAAGGCTTGCTTTTGCCATTGCCAATAGTGTTGTCGCTCTCTTATGTTCGCTACTACGTGAAACAGCCAATAACTCCCTCCTAAGGCCCCCTCCTTTGTATTTTTGTATTTCGAAACATAGAACTCTGCCTCACCTCTGCGTTCTAAAGTAACTATGTGATTACAATGCTCGCTGAGCACGTATGATTTCAGTTCAGGTATGATACACAAGGAGCATTGTAAAGTGAAAAAACGTATAAGATTATAGACCTGTCGTATTGAATGAATATAACAAGCAACTAGTTCGGCGTCACGTCACAATTTTCTTTATCATCATTTCGGTGGTAAACTTAACGTAGTATGGCCGTCGTTTGGAAGTATTCACAGTTTTACTTCCACAAAGAATACGCGATAAACATTGAACGGAGCGAATTACGAAAGACTTTTTTAAACAAATATTTAACGCGAGTGAGATAAACAATCGATAGAAGTGTTAATTTGAAGGAGTTTACAAAAGGAACAACACGCGACCTCCTTTTATTTCTACATTTTTAAGGATTTCACCTAAATTTAATTCAAGATGTGGTTAATCAGCCAGCCTAATTCAGTTATTCTGCAAGTTAAAGCCGATCCCAATGCAATTGGACAAGAATGTTTGGAGAAGGTAAGTTTATTTAATAATTAATTGCCAATGATTTTGCAATAATGTTATTGTTCGACTTATTCCTATTGCTTGCCTTAAGAAAAAGTGATTATTACTTTGTCAAACTTTGAATGTGTTTAGCGTTTAATAGTTTTCGTTAAAAAAGTAAGAAAATACAAGTTTTCTGTTAGCACTACTTGTTGAGTTGCAGTAAACAATATTTATTTATTTGTTCATTTTCGAAACCTGTACTCGCAATCAAGTTTTATTTAGCATACACAATACACAAGTGCATGTACTATAGCTTTTATTAATCGCTAGATATAATAGCATATTTCATTAACCGTAAGCTTACAAAATCATTGAACAAGATTACAAGACACGTTCGTTCGTAGGACGTCACATTTTACCTTGTGGACTTTGGACCCGGCAAACGGCATGGTGGTATTTTGTTCACGTCGAGGCTCCGTGATTAAATTTGAAAGTAAAGGTGCTAGCTAGATGCTATGTTTCCGTTACAAATGTAAATAATGTTGCAAATCGAACATTCAAATCGTTCACATTTCATTGTTGCCAACTACTGCATCCAAAATCGTCAGAAAAAATCCTTTTTTATGAAATGCTTATTTACATTATTCTACAATGCCAAATTCAATACCATTCATATTTGAAATGATGACATCATAACATGAAAACTTAATGTATAAAAAATACACAAACATTGTAATGTAGATATTTTTTTTATTTTGCCAATCACAGATCGATAACTGATTAAAAGGATGCAGAAGGCTCAATCTGTTATCGTTGCGTGAGAAAGTTGCCTACAACCCTACTTACAAAAAGCGACATTTTTCACGCTGCTGGCTTTGGTCCAAAAATGTACCTTACGAAATAAAGACTATTCGAAGAATATTTCAGTTTTATAGACCAATTATTTAACCGCAAAGCATTGCGGTCGACTCAAAATCAAGTCTGAGTAGACTAAATACCACTACAATAGTAGTACAAAAAATAGAGTATTGTTGTACCTATTATTAAATGCGAAAGGATACTTAAATGCCTACCTAAAATTCAATTATTCATAATAATATATTTAGAACAAAATTAAAAAAACAATCTTTTATTTAAATGCCCTAAAAATACTAAAATATTTTTTTACTATCAACTTATGACATCATTATCCAATTTATATAATATAAAAGCTTATCCTTTGTTACTTTACTAGGGACTTTATGATATAAATAAATATGTATTCTAAGATTAAGCGAAAACTGATCAGTCGTAGTCAAAAATATCCAGACCGATGTAATTATATTCTCAGAACGTATGCAATACCTATATTGCAGTACAATATGTTACGATAGGTACATGTTAAGTTTATCTCGAGAATCCTTGAATAGCACCTATCAAATGGCTATTATTAAATCACATACTCACACAGATGACTACTTATTTCTATACCTAAGTCGTTTTTCGTAAAAATCTGCTTCAATACAATTTGTTAATGAGCCACGATTTTTACGTCAGCAGACAAAAGACATTCGCTTCTGTGATTCGGTGAATAATTCACTCGCTCCGTACTAAATCGCTACCTATTGTAACACCGCTGACTGTAATGCGGGTCCAAAGTCCAACCTCTAGGTATAACAGCTGTGAGCTCACCGGCCGTGCTCGCTCGGGTGCACGTGCTGCCTGCGTGATCGTCACATCAATACAACTTTGTCTGAACAAAAACCGTTCAAAATTCACCCTTATAGCTATAGAAGTAACGAATAGAGTGGCCGCAGTTGAGATAAGTCGCGGAGAACGTTTGGTTTTCGTTAGACGCGGCGCGGGCTGTTGAAGTTTTCATATTCGTTATTGAAGCCGGTGAATCTTCTATAATATTTAATATATTGTTGTTAACATCAACCCTAATTCCTTTCATGACTTGTGATTTTAATTTAAAATTTTAATCATATGAGCAGGAAAATGTCTGAATACAACTTTTACAATCATCTATATGAACAACTGAAAAAATATCAAAAGAATGTTATACTGAAAGTGGACTAGATTATGTCATGCACGATGTTTTATTAACTAAATAGAAATAGTATTCAGAGCGCTTCGCGAGTCCAAACTTCATTTCGTAGGGATATATTTAACTCGATTATAACAGAACAAGACACCATTGACTTCATTAGACACGTTAGAAGGTTAATGGTATGAGTAGACTATAAAAATATACTACTAACAATAGCAGATAAAAATACAGAAATTGTAACTAAAAAATAAGTATATTAATACACTGACGAATTTAAAAATAACTAAACAATGAATTTTTTACTTAGACGTATTTTTTTTACTAGGCCGGCATAATGATCGTGCTGAGTTTAAAATAATAGCTAAGTAGGTAGGTGCCTACACTAATAGTTAGGTACGTGCAGTATTTTGCAATATACATACTTGATTCAGGCCAAAAACATAATAGCTAAGCAAGACCGACAAAATTAACGTCGAAAGACGCATAACGAAACCTAAATTTTATGGCTGCGTTGTCTATAAAAGTAGGCATGTATACGTGCCATGGTTACAATTACAAACAAAAAAACAAGTCTACTCAATAGATGTTTAAAATGTTTTGCTACTATTTGTTGAACTTTCCAATTGGTTTCGTTTGGACTTCGTACCCTGACGTCACTGCTACTACAGTACGGCCTCTGTTGGGTAACGCTTCCATTGTTTGTCACAATATCCTCCTAACAGCTTACGGTAGCCCCTTAATGTTGTGTAGTGTAAACTTATGAGAGTATTTCAAAGGTAAAAATCTTCTCTCCTTATTAACTGGGCTTTTGTTGATAGATTACCATTCTTCGTACTCCTCAACCTATTCTTTAAATATTTAGAGAAATGTATTTATATTTAGAGATAAAATTGTATCTTAAGCAACTGTGTATATGCAAAAGATACCGCAAAGGCGCGACTCCTAAAAACTTTCACTTTATACATCAACATAGCAACGCTTTCGCAAAACACGTTCCATGTTTCGTGATATCTCCAAAAGTGTCCATACGCTGAAATAATAACTTAATGATGCTTCTAAGTATTGTGCTGATTGTACCTTTTAAATATACCCATGAGAATCGAGAAACCGTATCTGCGAAGCTTCATAAAGACTGGAATTAAAAGGGAACACACACTTGCGTGTAGGCATATACACATACACACTTAAAAATCTCACTTAAAACGGGAAACAGCATTTAAGGCAGGTGGTTACAAAATTCTGGGTAAGAATAATACTCATTCTTGAGACTGGGAAAAGTTGAAATCTGAACCAACGAATGTAATTACTATTGCTGGAGTACCTAGTCTATAATTATTATCCATCAACGAAGGCGTCACAGTCCATTGGGTAGATCGTAACGTAGAGACGGAACTGCGAAGAAATCTCATTATGACACTGCTATGTGACCCAATATAAGTAGTCTAACTGGATATAAGTACTACGTTAAGCAGTTAGTTACTAGTGCTTCAAATAATGCTATTAAAATAATGACCGGGGAAATATGATTGACTAAAGTTGAACAAGTACTCAAAACAAATTCTTGTTGACGTTGCATTTATAATGAGGATTCGTTTATCTCTACGTTGAAAAAACTTCTATGAATATTCATCTGTTTGAAATCCAAATTAATTCTTGGTCGTTACAAAGTCCAATAACTTGAGTTTCATCGTGTAGTTTGTCCACCTTGTTCAGTAAGTAAACAACTGCGCAAGCGCATGTACAGTAATTTTTACGCTATACCTACGTGACCATAGAGCAGTGAGCCAGAACCTTGGCTCACATAGCTCGCATTCGCATTATCGATAGTTTTGCCTTGTCTATAATTAAGGAAATTAGTCTATTTTTTGTGCTGTATAATATCAACGAATAAGTACCAATCAATTCATTTCAGGATTCAGTCTTTAATATATCTACCATTTAATTCTATAGATCTTCTATTGCTTCATTAAAAAAAAACACAAGCTAAGTATTCTAAAAAATACAAAACAGTATAATAAAAAACGAGCGAGCCTTACAGTAGTCGCGTATGATGTGTAACATTTGAAACCTCGCCTTATATTAGAAATAAAAGAAATAAAACCTACTACAAAAGGAATAAGCCATTTGAACATTATTTTCTAAAATCAAATCAAATAGCGCGCGCTTTCGCGACTTCCTGTTACACACTTCCGTTGCATTTCATGAAATCACTCCCACAAATTGCAGGAAAGCGAGAGGAAAGATGTTACACGTCAAAAACCAACATTATATTTAAATCATGCTAACAATCATAAACTTAGTCTCTACACTCTGTTTTTTATTAAGTTAATCTTTGGCGATTTCGGCCGTTTTTTTTAAAACTGTCATGGCAACACTACCAAGCAAAGTAAACAAACTTATAACTGCGTAGATACGCATGCCACCAACTACTCAACAATTTGTGAACTAACTTACAAAATGGGTCTTATGGCAGTTTACCCAAGTATTCTTATTTAACCGTTAAATAAACTGTCAGTCAAACTAGTACGTAACGTTGATACTATACGAATGATGGTCTTACATTCCATTGTAAATAAAACCGTGTACAACTGTACAACCAACGATATTAAATACCCTTTCACAACTTTCAGGCTTTCCGTGCGTGGTCAAGTGACTTGCATGCCGGTTTTCAAGATATCGCTATGTGTTGGTCACATCTTACGCTGTAGTAGAGTTTATTTATTTATTTTATTTATTTATTTATTGTAGTTGCCAACCCTAATATATAATATAGTATCCTACTATATTAAGGGATCAAATACTATATTTCTTAAAAAATATATAGTAGGCGAAACTACTATATTTTGCTTAAAGTAGACATTTGCCAGTAAAAGCTTTCTTAAAAATAAAAAAAAATATTTATTAAGGCATAGAGCAGCAAAATATCTTCATTTCAAATATAAAGTAAACATTTTAATCATAAACTATACATTTTTTTTGCTGTTTACTTTTTTTTTTG